GGCCCGGGCCCCGAGCGGCGGGACCTCGGAGGACGAGGGCAGCAGGGGCCCCAGGTCCCGAGAGGTCTCGCCTGAGGCCTGGATCATCCGCACCCTCCCTCGGACCCAGGACATCCTGAGGGTCTACCCTGCCTGGCTCAAGTGAGGCCCAGCGTCTGGGCACAGGCTCTGCCTGCAGGAGTCGGGAGGGGTTGGGCTGGAGCGGTGCGGCCCAGGCCCCTGAGCGTGTCCCCCGCAGGGTGGGTGTCGCCTACGTGTCCATTCGCGTGACTCCGGAGAGCACCGTGAGGGCGGTGGTGCTGGAGGTCCTGCCAATGCTTGGGCGCCAGGTAGGTACATGGCCTGCCCTGGTCCGGCCACCCAGTGGATGCCCCACCTGGGTGTCCTGGGGAGGTGGTGCTGGTCCAAACCTGAACTCCAACTCTGTCCCCGCAGGCCGAGGGTCCTGAGAGCTTCCAGCTGGTGGAGGTGCTCATGGGCAGTAGGCAAGGTGAGTGGGTGGCCTGCAGCCGATGCCCCGACCAGTCTGCCCCGGGTGCCCTGGGGTGTCCGGCAGCTATTCGCAGACCTGAGAGTGCCCAGTGCTGACTCGCCCCCCACCCTGCAGTGCAGCGGACGGTGCTGGCGGATGAAGAGTTTTTGCTCAACCGTCTCCAAGACATCCGACAGGTCAGTGGGTGTGGACGCTCGACCCTGTGAGCTGCTGGCCTTTGGCCATGGTCTCCACCTCACAGAGAGGGCCCCCATGGCCACCCAGGTGGGCTGCTGACCATTCTGGCCAGCAGTGCCTCCCTCTCACACCTGGCAGGTCCATCTGCTTCCTAACAGGCTACCTGTTCCTGGAAAGTGGGGTTTCAGGGGCCACAGACCCCCTGAGTTTCCTGTGGGGACTGGAGGGAGGAAACTTGTGTCTTCCGTCTTTTCCTCTTCTCTCCCCTTCTTCCCAGGGCCCGTTTCTGGGTGCGGGTGGAGGGCCTGGAGTGGGGTGCCGCCCTGTGCTCTTCTCAAGAGCACCCCTCCTCCTCCCCACAGACGTCCCTGCGGCAAATGAGTCAAACTCGCTTCTACGTGGCTGAGAGCAGGCCTGTGGTCCCCCGTGTCTCCTTGTTCGTTGGTGGCCTGCCTCCCGGCCTGTCCCCCCAGGAGTATGAAAACCTGCTGCATGAGGCTGTGGCCACCAAAGGTGTGACCACCTGGGCTGGCCTGGGGCTACTGGCTGCTGGCCACTGGGGGCAGGGCAGGGGTCCTGAGACAGACCATGGGGGCTGCTGGATGAGGCCAGGTCCTCCTACTCCCCCATCACTGTCACAGCCTTTGCCCAGATGGTGCCCCACCCAGTGGGTCTCCTCACCTTGGGGCCCAGACTGCGACTCCTCCTCTGAGGGGCTTCTGGGCCTCCCGAGGCCCAGTCTCTGTCTTCTCTGCTCTAGGCTCTGGGCGTGGGGTGTGGAGGGGAGGGGGCTGTGCCTGGAGTTGGAGGGTGTCCCTTCCTGGGGTCGCTGGCCCTGCCTTGTGGTGAAGTTTCCCCTGAACAAAGTGGCTAGGGGGCTGCCGCCCTGGGGTGGGCTGCCCTGGGGGCCTCCCTGACCACAGCCTGTCCTTGCAGCTGGCCTGGTGTCCCTGAGCCACGTGTACTCCTCCCAAGGTGAGCCGCCCCACCCGCAGTCGGTCAGGTCAGAGGTCGCTCCCTGCAGATAGAGGGAAGAGCCCTGCCCACGGGTGAGGGAGATGTGGTTTGTTTCCTGGCCCTCGGGGGTGATGCTTTGCTGAACTGTGACTGAGGCCACTGTTCTGCCTGCGGGTTCACATCTTTATCGTGGAAAATGTCAAATTTTCCAGAAGTGAAAGAACAGCACCCTGAGCCCATATCCCTTCTGTGGGTCCTCAGCAGTTACCAGTTCTCTGTTCCTGGGGGCTCATCCCCCCATGGTTCCCAGGGGGCTTGGTGGGCTGGGGAGTGAGGCTGTGCTCAGTCCTTCCACCCTACGTCTTGGTGGCCTCCCTCACGTCCACCCACCAGGTCCTGTCTCTCTGATGTTTGGCTGTCCCTGAAGGCTCCCCCGGGGGTGAGGGTCCTGTACCTCCTGGACGCCCTTGGGTGGGCTGACCTGAAACTGGCCCTGGCCTGAGCTCACAGCCTACCTGCCACAGGTGCTGTGGTACTGGACGTGGCCTGCTTTGCAGAGGCCGAACGGCTGTACATGCTGGTCAGAGACACAGTTGTGCATGGCCGGCCACTAACTGCCCTGGTGCTCCCGGATGTGCTGGTAAGTGGGAGCTGGGCCTGGGGGGACGTGACTGCCACTACTGGTTTTGTTTAATGCTCGGGCATCTGCCACACAATCTTGATCCACACAAGTGAGAGGCCTGCATGGACCGTGAGGACTCCCCACGGACCCTCTCCCTCTGTGGGGTCACTGGGCCTGGCCTCACTCCGCTGCCCAGCCTGCTGTGAGACCTCTGCTTGCACCCTTGGCAGCCTCAGCCAGCAGGTGGCACTCTAACCAGACCCAGCACTGCCTGGAGGAAGGGTGCCTGGAGGAGGGGTGCTTGGCAGCCAGCCTGGGCGAAGGTGGGCTCTGCGATAGGTTCAACATGGGTCAGGGCGTGGTGAGGGGCCAGCACTGGTCCTTAGCCCTGCAGCCCCCAGGTGTCCATGGCTGCTGTGCCCCTTGCCCCTGGCCTCGTCCAGGGGAAGCGGAATGACAGAATGAGCTCAGGGCCTCTGACAGAGTGGGCAACGCCTGCAGGTCCCCACCGCCCCTCCCCACCCTGAGCCGGCTCAGGACAGGGTGGCCTACCAGAGGTACACAGCCCAAGGGTGAGGGTCATCAGCCAGCCCTGGCGGCAGAGCTGGGCCGGATGCTGACTGACTTGCACTTCCTGCCTCCTGCCAGTTACCTGCCCCAGGGAGCAGGTGAATGGTGTCTGCAGGCAGCTTTGCCCGGTGGGTCACAGGTCACCCCAATTGTGTCCTTGGCCTTGGGCCATGGCTACTGTGTTTCTCCCCAACCTGTATGTATCTTGTCAGCCAGCAACCTCATTGTAGGGACCCCCAGCTCCTCTGCCTCATCTTTGCCCATGGGGACCCCAGCCCCCTGCTACTGTCTTCTGGGCACTGTGTTTTGGAGATTAGGGAGGAGGGGCTTCATCCTGAGCCTAAGGGAGGTGTGTGGCCTCCCAATGAATGGGGCTGCTGCTCCTGGCTGCCATGTGGGTGGGCAGGGGCCCTGGGAGTGGCGTCCTCCCTGGCTGTGCACCAGGTGGCTCCTAGCGGGGCAGGTGGGGTCCAGCCTGTGCCTGTGGCTGCATGGATGGGGTGGTGGGTGAGGTCTTGGGGACATGTGTCAGCAGCTGTGCCTTGTCCTATGTGCTCAGAGCTCCAGGCTGGCGGCCTCATTTCAGCCCCGTTGGCCCGAGATCTGTGGGTGTACCCTTTGCCTTGGGGGTGTCCCCAGAGGTCAATGGCGAACTGGGGATGCTGTGCAGCCCCCTGGGCCTTGTATGGGCCTTCTTTGGGAGGGGGCTGCTCCAGGTTGGCTCAGGCCAGGGGGCCCCAGGGATGGGGACAGCCTCTGTCTGGGCAGCATGGTGGGGGAGATGCCTGCCATAACTGTTTCTGTCTGTCAGCACTCGAAGCTGCCCCCAGACTCCTGCCCCCTCCTCGTCTTTGTGAATCCCAAGAGCGGAGGCCTCAAGGGCCGTGACCTGCTCTGCAGTTTCCGGAAGCTGCTGAACCCTCACCAGATCTTTGAGTTGACCAATGGGGGGCCTCTTCCTGGGTGAGTCTGGTGGAGGCCCTGCTGCCCGGCTCAAATCCTGGCAGGCCGTGAGGGGCTTTCACACACTTGCTGATGGGCTGGTGCGACCAGGTTGCGGTTTGGTGTTGGAACCCTTGAGGGCTGCTTTGGGTGGGGGATGAACTGTGGCCCGTTCCGCTGCTGGGTCTTGACCTCCTGCCCCCACTCGCCTGCGTGGCTGTGACTGGTGGCAGACAGTTCCTGTCTCCTTGTCACCAGGTTCCACATGTTCTCCCAGGTGCCCTGTTTTCGGGTGCTGGTGTGTGGTGGGGATGGCACCGTGGGCTGGGTGCTTGCTGCCCTGGAGGAGATGCGGCACCGGCTGGCCTGCCCCGAGCCTTCTGTGGCCATCCTGCCTCTAGGCACAGGTGGGGTCAGCTAGTGAGTCGGGAGGTGGGGACTTGGGATTCATCCCTTCCCGCCCCGTTTCAGTTGAGGCCTAGGGCGGGTATGGGTGTGGAGTCAGCCTGCCTCTCCCCACTGCCCCAGGGAATGACCTTGGCCGGGTCCTCCGCTGGGGGGCGGGCTACAGCGGAGAGGACCCTCTCTCGGTGCTGGTGTCGGTGGACGAGGCTGATGCCGTGCTCTTGGACCGTTGGACCATCCTGCTGGATGCTCACGAGGCCACCAGTGCAGAGGACAGCGTGGCTGACCTGGAGCCCCCCAAGGTCCGGTGTGCCTGGTGAGGGTGTGGTGGCTGTGGGGCCCCTGTGGGTGACCCTTTACCCTGGTGTAGGTGCCAGTGCCACCCCCTTCATGGAAGGGGCAGTCGAGGCTCAGAGCAGTGACTGTTGGGTGACGGCCCAGGGCTGGCTGGCTGAGGGCCTTGCCTGTACCACGTGCTTGCTGCCTCCTCCCGGTGCTGGCATTTACCAAGCTGGACAGTCACCAGACAGCAGCAGCTCCGACAACAGCGGCGCAGTTGGGTTGGAGACGGAGGCTGGACCCCGCTTGGGGAAGGTGGGGAGCACCTGGCAGGGGCTGAGTAGGTGATGGGAGGATTTGTCTTGTCCGCAGATTGTGCAGATGAGTAACTACTGTGGGATTGGCATCGATGCAGAGCTGAGCCTGGACTTCCACCAGGCTCGAGAGGAGGAGCCCAGCAAGTTCACAAGCAGGTGCCGTAGGATTGAGGAAGTTGGGGCTGCCTCCTGGTGACAGCGTACTTCCTGGGGACTCACAAGTGGGAGCTGGTGCAGAGGTGCTGGCATCTAGGGGCTGACTTAGGCTAGACGGGCCCCAGCCTGTAACAGTAGTGTTCTCCTGCAGGTTCCACAACAAAGGTGTGTACGTGCGAGTTGGGCTGCAGAAGATGAACCACTCGCGCAGCCTGCACAAGGAGATCCGGCTGCAGGTGGAACAACAGGAGGTGGAGCTGCCCAGCATCGAGGGCCTGATCTTCATCAACATCCCCAGGTGCCAGTGGGCGGAGCTCTGCCCGGCCCAGCCTGGTTCGGCTCGGGCGGGACTCTGGGCCCTGTGCAGCCTCTCTCTCACCTGTGCGCCCTTCCCTCTCGGCACAGCTGGGGCTCAGGGGCTGACCTGTGGGGCTCCGACAGCGACTCGAGGTTTGAGAAGCCGCGCATGGATGATGGGCTGTTGGAGGTGGTGGGGGTGACGGGCGTCATGCACATGGTGAGTGTGGGCAGGAGGGCAGGTGGCCCCCAGTGTGATGTGCTGCCTGCTTAGCCTACCTGCCCACTCCCACCAGGGCCAGGTCCAGGGTGGGCTGCGCTCCGGCATCCGCATCGCCCAGGGCGCCTACTTCCGAGTCACGCTTCTCAAGGCCACACCCGTGCAGGTGGATGGGGAGCCCTGGGTCCAGGCTCCTGGCCACATCATCATCTCAGCTGTGGGCCCGAAGGTAAGTCGTGGGGAGTGCCAGACAGGGCTGAGAGTCGGTGGTGAGGTGGCTCAACGCTGGCAGGCCGTGGCTGGGGGGGCCCAGATGGCCTCAGCAGTCCTACTGGGTCTCGTTCTTTCCTGACCCCCGAGGTCATGGGCCCAGGTAAGGTTGAATGGCCTCTCAAGAGCACCTGCCTCTCCTCTGTGGCAATGAGCATCCCAGCCTGCGAGGGAGGTGTCTGCCGGGCAGTGGTGGGGCTTGAGCCCCTGCCTCACAAGCCATAACCATGTGCCCCCATTTCCTGCCCTTCTGTAAAACGGGCTGAGAATGTGCTGGGTGTTCTGGGGTCCTTGGCTGGTGAACCTGTCCTCTGACCTCACTGGCCCTGGGACAGGTCCACATGCTCAGGAAGGCCAAGCAGAAGCCTAAGAAGGCCGGACCGCCCAAGGATGGCCAAGCAGATGGGGTGCCTACCCCCGAGGGGGCCCCCAAGTAGAGAAGGGCCCCAGAGCTGTCTCTGCCTGTTCTACAGCAGTGGATGGATGTGCCTGTAGCCCCGACCTTGGGGTGTTCCTCCCACAACCCTGACTCCCAACTGGTGACCTGGGGTGGGCAGGGGCTCTGGCTGGCCGATCCTTACTCCCTGGAGCCTAGGCCATCATGGAGGGCATGCCTCCCTGTGTGTCTCCCACCACCGCCGAACCCTGGGAGCTGGCAGCCCTGGACCTCATCTGTGTCCCTCAGGCGGTCCCTGGGTGCTCCTAGAGTAGCTGGCTCCGAGGGTCCTAGTGTGCCCAGCAGATGTGGGGCACCCACCCACCACCAGCTCCTCTGGCCTCCCGACTTCCTCACCGCAAGCCTGGCTGTGGCCCAGGAGTGACAGGATTGCACTGCGCAGGAGAGCCTGAGGAAGCAAGAGAACTTGGCCACCGTCCTAAGGATGGACTGGTGCCTGGAGGGTGGGCAGAAGTGCCTGGAAGGACCAGAACTGAGCAGACCTGGGCCCTGAGGCAGGGCCCAGATAAAGTGGTGACAGGAAGTGTGGAGGAGCCAGCTTTAATCACCAAGGATGACTTGCACTTTGTACCTTGTTTGCCAACCATCAACAAGCCCCTTCCCAGTGTCTGCTTAGCAGACAGGATCCCTGCGGCCTCTGTGCTCCTCCACACGGAGACCCGTGAGGTGGGACATGGCTGCTGAGCCCAAGTCAGATGACCCACAGAGCTGTCTTAGACTCCAGGAGGAACCTGACCAAATACTGTCTGCCTGGGAAACCTCCCGAGGCCCCAGAGGAGGCCCCACAGACCCCACCTCTCCCCATCATCAGACCCTGAGCTGGGTCCCTTTGCTGCTAGTGCCTCTGGCAGGGCTGCCTCTGGCACCCCTGGTGGCTTTGCCCTGAGATTTGGCCTCAACCTCAGAAGTGCTCCCCCTCCTCCATACTCCCCCAGCTTCTGCCAAAACTGCACTGACAATGCACTGAGCAGCCTCTGGCTTCAGCTTGTGTGCCTCTGAGCCGTGCTTTCCTCTGCCTATCTCTGTGGTGTAATTGTTGCTTCCCTGCAGGCCCCGTTTTTGAGTGTCTGTAGGACTGTCTGTAAATTGGGGTTAGGGTGACCATCCTGTTCTAAAGGGTGTCTGTGTGGCTCTGCGTCAGTGGCCTCCTGGTAACCTACACTACCTGCAACCCTAACTTATGTCTGCCACAAATACATCTGGGCATGGCCTTGGCTGCTGTCTCACTCCTGTCTCTGTGTAAGGACCGGTGCACAGGGAGGGGTGGTTTGCAGCCTGGCAGCTGCCAGGGAGCTCTGCATGTAGGGAGGGGAGATCAGACTGGGCCAAGGGGTCCCGGGAGGGGCTGCCTGGCCCAGAGGACCTAGGACCACAGCACACCCCCTGCTCCCCAACAAGGCTGAGGGGTTGCGGCTAGGCTCCACCAGCCCCCAACCACCCGACTGCCAGCTCCCACGCAGCCGTGAGCTTGTGCGGGCCCAGGATAGAGCTGGGCACTGACATCACAAGCCCACCTGGGCAGGGTCTGGCACTAGCAGGAAGCAGGAAGCAGCGGGTCCTCGGCGCAGTGTGCGGGCTGGGCCAGGCCTTGCAGGGCCCGCAGGAGGGCCAGGGCCAGGCGCACGAGGAGCCGCAGCAGCAGGAAGGCGAAGGGCACGGCGATCTGCATGACGTGGAAGATGGCCGTGCTGAACCTGCTCAGGAGGCAGGTGAGGAGGAAGGCCAGCAGGCTGGCACAGGGGTATAGGGCGAGCTTGGCGAACATGAAGGCGTGCTCCTGGCCCCCGAACCGCACAGAGGGCTGCAGGGTCTCCGCCTCGCGCAGCAGGGCTGCGGTCCACACAGCGAACTGGAAGATGCTGGCGAGGAAGGTGATGGCACAGCTGACCCGCACGCGCTCGAGCTCCTCGTGGGGCTGCCGGGCGAAGGCCGAGGTCTGCTGGTAGGCCAGCGGGAGGCCACCCACGAAGGCCAGCGAGAGCGTGTTGAGCAGCCCCATGGACTGTGTGGCCTTGCGCACGTGCAGGAACAGCGAGTGGTGGGCAAACCAGAGCAGGCCCACGGTGGCGAAGGAGCCGAAATACGCCAGGAATTGTGGCCCGTACGCGCTCAGTGCGGCCACCAGGCTGCCGTGGAACCTCTCCTCCACGTCCTTGGCGTCTGGGACGCTGTCCTCGCTGAGGATGTGAACAGATGCACCTCAGTGGCTTCAGTGCAGGCGTCAGTGCCCCGCCCCCACCTAGCTGCTGCTCCCACACCCCTGAATGTTGGGTGAAGGACACTAAGTTCAGGTCATCTATTTACACGCACACTCAGTACAGCGAAAGATCACGTGTCCCTCACCTGAAGTTCAAGCTGCAGTGCATCCTGTTTCTTTGCTAACTGGCAGCCCTGCCTGCTGGACCCCGGGCTGGGGAGCAGCCCTAGCCCTGAGCCCGAGCCCTTCTGGGCTCCACGGGTGGGTGCCTATGAGGCCTGTCTACCCTCCTGCAGCCACCTGTCCACTTGGGGCACAGACCCGCAGACGTGATGGTGAGGAGCAATTCTAGGGCATGTCAAGCCCTGGGCTGCTCACCTCCTGAGGTCGTGGGGGCTGCTGCCCTCAACTGCACAGCCAGAGAGCCACGTGGCAGCTCTGATCCACCAGGGGGAGGTGCCTGAGACACTCTGTCCCCATAGGGGTGCTGCACATGTGTATGTGTGGGGGGGCTGGACTTGAGGTTTTGAAGGAGGGAGCAGGAGACAAAGCCTGAGGAGGTTGCCTGGGGACCCATGAGTCCTCAGGGACAGCAGGGAGGGTGGCCAGGGCTCTCGGTAGAGTGGAGGGAAGCACATCCCCTACCCTGGCCTCCAACCATGGCCAGTCCTCACACCACTTGTGGAGGGGACCCGAGCTAGCAGATCATTCCAGAAGCTTGGGTCTAGGCCTGAGATTGGTACTTGTGGACACTGGCTCCCAATTTTAAAAATCCACAAGTTATGGTAAAAAGAATTCCCAGGAGAGAATCGGGAATGAAGACTTTGGACTGTCACACGCAGAGCAGGGAACCGGGGCTCCTACCGTGCTAACTGAATAGATGCTCTGAAACTCGGCCAAGGAACAAAAGGCCGTAGGAAGGAGGGAGACAGCCCTGGCTGGCGTTGCTTGGTGAGAGTGTTAGCGGCACCCCTGCAATGGTCACGGGTTCGATTCCCACCAAGGGCATATACCTCAGTTGCAGGTTCTATCCCCAGCCCTGGTCAGGGCGCATGCGGGAGGCAACTGATCAATGACTCTCTCTCTCTCACTCACTCTCTAAAAAAAAAATCAATGGAAAAAATATCCTCAGGTGAAGATTCACACACAAAAAAAGGAGGGATCCTGACAGGAAGCAGATAAACCTGAGAAGTAAAAGCATGACCCAGAGGCGGGTCAGGAGAGCTAGTGGAGGGCTCAGCAGGGAGGCTGAGGTGGGGGCTGCTGGCACAAGACCCCACATGCTGGGAGCCCTGCCCAGGGTGGGATTCCTTCTCGGGGGGGGGGG